TTTCATAGCCTTTATCACTTGTGGTTGACTAAGTCTACAAAGTGGATTGGGAACAAGCACTGGTTCTTGAAGGGTAGACTAGATTTAAATAGACAGATGTGAACAAGCTCATTTGGGGAACACATTCACGCCATGGTGACAGCAAGAATATTCAGAGCTGAACAAGCCAATTCCAGCATACCTATTTTCCTCTTTGACAAAGGCAAAATTCTGCCCTCCCCACTAAGCTAAGGTATGCAAATTCTAAAGGAGAAAAAAACTTGATAGTTATCAGTAGCTTCTTTAATTATTTTTATTCACTATTTCCAATTGTATTCAGCTCTCTTAGTATTTCATGGAACAGTGTAAAGTCACTAAAGCTCTTGCTCTTCATGAATAATCTTTCTATTCCCAGGGAACACATTTTATTTAGTGAGACTCATTACAGTTCAAAACCATTCCAATAAAGTTGTCCATTGCAATTTCCAGGGTGTAAGGTGTATGTTCAATCATCAACGTAGAGCTATTCACTGATCCTCTTATGTTGCCCACAGAATCATACACAGAAAATTATTCGGTGCATAACATGAATTCCCCAATGTATTAAGTGCAAATGATAAGATGCCTTAGAGACCACTGCAGACACTTGTAGCTAATGAGAAAATCTTACAGAAGAGGGAAAATACCATGCTGAGAATCTGCTTTGTTACAGTGGATATGAGAAAGAAATTGTCCTCAGGAACTCCAGTGTCAGAACTGTTTCTGTCACTTGCTCATTACGGACCTTGGACAATTTGCCTTAATCCATCTACGGATTAGTTACCTTATCTATGAAATAAATTGGCTCTACAAAATTGTGTCTCTATTGTGAACTACAAATGTGATAACATGCATAAAATGCTTTATAGATGATAAAGCGAGATTCAAAAATCTTATTTCATTACAAGCAGACACTATGTTTCAGACGCTTTGGGATGTATTTTGTCTATTTGGAAATAACTTAAAGAATATAATTGTTCATAACTCAAAGGATAAATGCTTGAGGGGATGGATACACTATTATCCATGATGTGCTTATTTCACATTGTATGGCTGTATCAAAACATCTCATGTACCTCATAAGTATATACACCTACTATGTACCCACATACAATTTTAAAAACAATTAAAAATTTTTTAAAGCATTTGACATAGTACGTAAAAACTAAGGAAATTTTTAAATATCAAAAGAAGCAAAATAAATAATTCCATGTAGTACAGAAGTTAAGCAGAAAAGGAAATACAATCAAACTTTTCTATGTAGCTCAGCTGTAATACATATACATGTAAATAACATATACTTATCTACAGTAATGGAAACATTAAATAATGATGAAAAATTATGAAATTGGTACACCAGAAAAGAGAGAGAAAAATGTTCAGGGGGCTTAGGATGGTCATGAGGAAAGGTATATAAGAAAGGTAAATCTTCATTTAACACACTAGGAAGTGAATGCATAATGTCTAAATTTTAAAAATGAGTAATGGTAGTACACATATTATTTAGAAATATGGAAGTAGCTACCAAGAAAAAAGGAACTAAATGAGTTGAAAATTGTTCTTTCAATGTGTTGAGGAGGGGTTGGGGATAGTGGGGTGGGGGATTACTATAGTCCATTCTAAACCTCCTTGTCCTATTTGTTTTATTGTGTTAAGAACACCAAACATGAGCTCCACCCTCTTAAGAATTTCTAAGTAAATAATACAGTGTTGTTAATTGTAATTGGAATGTCATATGGCAGAATTTATTCATCTTCCACAACTGAAACTTTGTACCTGTTGATTAGCAACTCTCTACTTTTCTCTTCTCCCAATTCTTGGCAACTACCATTCTATCCTCTGATTTCCTGAGTGTGACTATTCTGGATGCTATTACCTGCATAACAGGTGGGTTCGACCTCTTGGTGAGTGACAGTCCAATGACCACAACCTTTATGTCCTTAAGTATTTTGTCTGCATTATTAAGAAATGCATGTGCCTAGAAAATACTTAAGAAATCATTGTCTATCATAAAGAATTCTCTAAGAGAAGCCTAGCACTCTCTTTGTGCAACCAGAATTTTTATTACTGATTCAAGATTCTTATTCATTATTGGTTTGTTTAGGTTTTTCATTTCTTCATAGCTCAATTGGGTAGATTGCATGTGTCTAGAAATTTATCAATTTCTTTTAGGTTATCTAATGTGGGGTGTAAAATGGTTCATAATGTTCAACCATTATGCAACCATAGTTTATTTAACTCCCTTTTCTAGGTAAGAAAATATTTTCCCTTTTCTCCGACTGTCATGAGTTTTGTCTTTAGACTCTGAGCCATAAAATTTAGCAACTTGCTTTGAAAACATACCACATTTTGTGTGTGAGAGAGAGACACATTCAAATTGCTTTTTAGTCATGATCTCACAGACAGTAACACCAGCTCCATGAGATGAGCCAAGAAACAAATTATCTCTATTTTTAAAAGGCCAATAAAAAAAGGGTTAAGTATCTGATTATAGAACTGGAAACAAGCTTAGCTGCTGGAGTCAGCTTGGTGCACGTAAGAGTAACCACCAAATGGCTTCATGGTGAGTGCAAATTGAAGTTTATTGATACTTGATGTAACTTGACTTGTCAGAGTCTTAGTTTACTCATAAGCAATGAGCTTAGAAATGAAAGGGAGAATTGAAGAGACTGGCAATGTATGCAGTTTATTTTTATTTTCTTTGTAAGCTTTTCTTCTGATTTGTGCTTTTTTATAAACAAGAATCTCAAGTTGATGTTCAATATCAAAGAAATATCCATAATATGTTTGGCAGAAATGCTTACCATGTAAAAGTGCTTTCACATCATATATTATTTGGTATTCTACCTTTTCTCATATTCTTCTGTCATTTTGTTTATAGGTCATCTCATATAATATCTACTGATGAATATATATCTCAAGCTCAGTTCTATTTCCTGAATTCCAGACCCACATGTAGAACTGCTTATGCACTTTTTGGATGACTATTAGGTCTCTCAAAACTAGCATACTCAATACTCAGTTACTGACATTTCTTCCATCTTAATTTTGCCCCTCCTACATGACTATATGACTTCTTCATACAGTTAATTGTAATTGTGTTCTTTCTGTTGCTCAGGTCAGAATCTTGGAGTCATTCTTAATACCTCTTATTCAGACCTAAAATTGTGTCTTTGACTGAATTCTACCATCTCTACCTTTAAAATCTATGTGTATTTCAATACTTTCACCATCTCCAACACCTCATTAGTTCAAACCACCAAGATTCTTGCCTTAGAAATTATAATAGCCTCTTAACTGGGTTTCCTGGTTCAATTTTGCCTCCAAAACCTATTCCGTACATAGTAGCCAGAGTCATTCGGTTAAAATGTGACAGCATATTATCACTTCACTTAAACCTTTCAGTGCCTTCCTCCTCCCTTAAAGTTCAAGTTAAAATCATTACATGATTTACAAGACTCACTGATCTGGCTTCATTACTATTCCTCTGAATTTTCTCCTCCTGCATTCCCTTCAACTCATTCTTTCTGCTGACACTGGAATCCTTTATACATCATCAGACAATCTCCTGCTTCGGGGTCTTTGCCTTGAAGGGTTCAATCTGCCGAGAATAATATCTTACAGATACTTACATAACTTCATCCCTCACATCCTTCAGGTCCTTACTACTTACTTGTGGCCTTCCCAATTACCTGCTAAAACTTAGAAGTCTTACGGCAACACACCCACCCCTCTTCCCTGCTCTATTTTTCCCCTTAGCTCTTATTACTATTTATGATACTTAACATGCATTTTTGAAAATTTTATTGCACACTATAATTTAAGCACTATGAGAATAGGCAGATTGTTTTGTTAATGATTTGGCACATAGTAACCACTAAATAATAATTTATTGAATTAATGAAGGGCTATATATTTTACCTTAATAGAATGACTTAGAATTTTGCAACATGAGCTAATCGGATTTTAAGAAATCCCATCATGGAAGAATGTTTGCTGTCATAGCATAGACTTATAAAAAATCTATGCCTATCTCACCTATTAGGTAGAGCCTCATAAAAAATCCAATATGTAATACTTGTGTTTATCTATTTTTTAAAGGAAAATTGGTAACTTATTTTTGTTCTCAATGCTGACTGACTTTCTCCTTTGACTTCCTGATAGTTTATAAATATAATTTCAAAATTCTTAAATCTAAAAAGAAAATGGTTACTGGTTACTTTAATTAAAGAAAAAAAATTGTCAATTACGCAGACATTAATTACTTTGGGATCAACTGCCCCTCTGTCTGCTGAAGAGTTTGAAATACTGGGTCAAGTTCTCGGTTTTCCCCTTTCATCATTGTAATTCCTTTTAAAGTGGCCTTCCCCTGAGCAAAGCTAACATTGAACAAAACTCTAAAGCTTGTCTCTTTTCAAAAAGAAAAAAAAATAAAAACTAAAAAGAAAAGGAGAAAATCATTGTATTAATGCCTCTGTTCTAGTGTGAACAATAATTAGCAGCGAGTTTCACATTTTTAAAACAAAATCTAATTAGTTATGAAGAACACCCAACTCCCCTCTATTATTTATTTTTCTTCTACCTTAATAGTTGGCTGGCCTCATATTATTTACCTATTTCTACAAAAACAAAAATTAAACGAACAAAAAACACTCTCAGAGATGCTCAAAGAAAAGGAAGACGGAGCCAAGATGGCCGCCTCCACCACCCAGTGCCCAGTGACAAAAGGGGAGCAAGTCGGCGGCGGCCGCGCGGGTTGTCCGGAGCGCGGCCGCCCTGGGCGCCCACCGCAGGGCTCCCCAGCCCCCGTGCCACTGGCAGCACCGCCGCGCCGCCGCCGCCGCCGCCGCCACCGCCACCGCCGCCGCACCTGCCCGCCACCGCGCCGCGTGGACGAGCGCCAGGACTGGCCGAAGGCCGGCGGGAGCCGGGCCTGGCCCTTGTCCGCGCCAGGCCTGGGTTCTGAGGAAAACGCAGTGGTGGCCATGGACCTGAGTTCTCCCTCGCTCCCTAAGAAGACCCTGCCTGTCCCTGGGGCCCTGGAGCAGGTGACCAGTTGGCTGAGCAGCAAAGTGGCTCTGGAGGTTCCTCATGGCAGCAAACAGGAGCTGCAGGACCTCAGATGCCAGAGCCTGACCACCGGCGAGGTCTGCGGCGCCTGCTTTGAGACCCGAAAGGGCCTGTCCAGCCACGCACGCTCCCACCTGCAGTAGCTGGTAGTGGCAGAGTCCGAGAGGTGCGTTGCACCCATCAACCTCCTCTAGGACCTTATGAAGCAGAAGGGCCTGGCGGACGCCCACCTTGGGCTGCCCCCGGGCCTGGCTAAGAAGTCCAGCTGGCTGAAGGAGGTGGTCTCCGGGGACCCCGTCCTGGCTTACTTACCCTGGCCAACTCCTTGGATGCCCCTGCTGTCAACAAAGCCATTAAGTTGCATCTCGGCTTCTCGACCAAGGGCCTGGGCCGCCCCCACCTCCCCAGCTCTCCGCTCCTCAAAAAGACACCACTGGCCCTGGCGGGCTCCGCTACCCCTAAGAATCCTGAGGACAAGAGCCCCGAGCTGTATCTGAGCCCCCCGGCCGGCCTCCCAAAAGGCACAGTGACCTCAGCCTGAGGCCCTTGAACCTCACCTCAGGCCCAGAGCCCTCACCAGACGTCCGCTGCTGTGAGTTCTGTGGTGAGTTCTTCTAGAACCGCAAGGGCTACTGGAGCCACACGGGCTCCCACCTGAGGCAAATGGGCGTGACTGAAGGGTACGTCAATGGCTCGCCCATCGACAGGCTGCGGGAGCTCCTGAAGAGACAGACCCAGTCTCGCCCTGGCAGACCTCCCAACCAGCCAGGGCCAAGTCCAAAAGCTCTGGCCAAGATGATGGGCGTCACAGGTCCTGGCAGCTCACCGGAAACCCGCAGCCCCTCGGACCTTCACATCTCACCCTTGGCCAAGAAGTTGCCACCGCCACCAGGCAGCTCCCTGGGCTACTCACCAACTGCCTCTACTCCTCCCACGGCCCGGAAGATGTTCCCAGGTCTGACTGCACCCTCCCTGCCCAAGAAGCTGAAGTCTGAACAAATACGGGTGATCAAGCAGGAGATGCTGCCGGGGGCCGTTCATGGGGAGCTACACCTGTCTGAGGGTCCCTGGGAGACGCCACGGGAAGACATGATACCTCTGAACCTGTCTTCCCGGGCAGAGCCGGTGCGCGACATCGCTATAAGTTCTGCGGCGGGTTCTTTGAGAAGCGCAAGGGCCTATCTAGTCATGCGTGCTCCCACCTGCTGCAGATGGGTGTGACCGAGTGGTCAGTCCATGGTTCGTCCATTGACACTGCGAGAGATCCTCTAGAAGTCCAAGCCGTGCCTCATCAAGAAGGAATCAATCACTGGCTGGAGACCTGGTCCCTGCCTTGGCTGAGGATGGGCCTCCCACTGTGGCCCCTGGGCCAGTGCAGTCCCCACTGCCGCTATCGTCTGGCCGGTCAGGCAAACCAGGCACAGGGCCGGCCCAGGTTTCCTTGTGAGCTCAGCCTGACTCCCATCTCTGGGGCCAAGCCCTGAGCCACTGGCTACCTGGGCTCAGTGGCAGCCAAGCTGCCCCTGCAGGAGGACCGCCTCCTCCCCAGCAGAGGTCAAGGCCAAGACCTACATCCAGACTGAACCGCCCTTCAAGACAAAGACCATTCACAAGAAGACCTCCCACTCCTCCACCGAGGCCTGCTGCGAGCTGTGTGGACTTTACTTTGAAAACCGCAAGGCTCTGGCCAGCCACGCACGGGAACAGCTGTGGTAATTCAACATGACCGAGTGGCGCATCAGTGGTTCGCCCATCGAGACACTGAGCGAGTGGATCAAGCACCAATCCCAGAAGGTGGGCGCCTACCGCAGTTATACATCCGGGGCAGCTGCACCTTCACCAAGAAGTACCGCAGTGCCAGCCATGGCCATGACAGTGAAAAGCGGCCGTCCCTGAGCTGGCACCCAGGCGCCTGGCCGTGGTAGGCTGCAGTGCTGGGGGCCTGGGAACCAGAGCCTGAGGCTGGCTGGGCAGCCCACAGTGGTGAGCAGCCTCTGGCAGCCAGGCCGCTGGACACCGTGAAGGCTGAAGCGCACCAGCGGCAGAACATCAACAAATTCGAATGCCGACAAGCTTGTCCTCCAGATGCCTCCACAGCCGGGGGAGGTGAGGAGACCGATGACCGACAGCAGAAGCTGGAGGAGGTGAGGCAACCCCACCCCGAGTCCGGCCGGTCCCCTCCCTGGTGACCCTGACATCACTTGTCAAGTTCGTGGGCAACATCTACACTTGTCCTCAAATGCAGGTTCTGCGAAATGAAATTCCAGGGCCCCTTCTCTATCCAGGAAGAGTAGGTGTGGCACTTAACAGCTGCACATCCTGGAGATGAACTTCTCCAAAGTGGACCCACAGCCTAAGGAGTCCCAGGCCCTGCAGGCACAGACAGTGGCGGCAGAGGCTTCCTAACACAAAAGCATTCCAGATCCCCTCTCATGCCACCTGTGTCTCCTCTTCTTCCTCTGTATCCTCGTCCCTCATCCTCTTTCTTTCCATTTCCGTAGGAGCAAGCCAAAACCTCAAACCGGCGCCCCTTGGGGTCTGGGCACTCTACAACCAGGGCGCCGGGAGCAAGCTAGCTGCCCTTCCCCCAGTCCGAAGACTCTGGGACCACAGAGTGTCTTCCTTCAGCCTATGCCCACATGGTCCAGCAGGGGCAGCAGCCAGGTCTCGGGTGGCAGCCGATCTGGTCGCAAGGGAGGACAGCACTCCCCATTCTAGCAGCCAGTCAGGGCGATGTCTGCCATCCGTGGCCATTTGCAAAGACCCCAAACAGCCCTGTTCTGATTCCCTCTCGCCCCCATGAATATCCTCTCACACGCATGTACATGCGAACACACAAGCACCTTGTGAGACCTGGGATCTGCCCCGGATCCCCAGTTCCAGGGTCGAACGACCACATCATGCCACGGTGCTTGCTCAGGGGAAGCCATGCTCCCTCTGTGGGGCCAGCTGGAGCCTGGGAGCCCCCCACTGAGCCCCCAATGCCACAGAAATCCTTGTTGGCTGCCCCCCAGAGGGGCCTTCCCAACTGGGAAGAGCCTAGAGCTGACAGCTGACTCCTGCCATGTCAAGACCCCTAAAGAGCCTCATGGGCTCTGGGACCCTGGAGGGTGAGAAGGCGGGGTGGGACTCTCCTCCCCCACCCCTGACCCCTCCCCCTTTTCACTGTTGCTTTCTATGTGTAGCTCCCTACGATTTTCAGTTTTTTAAAAACGCGTTTTGTGTAGAAAATAAGGAACGTGGATCTTTTTTATTTTGCAATCCTGGACCAGCTAGAAGCCTTTGACCTTTTAAAAGCTTAAAAGCTTTTAAATCAACATTAAAAGCTGATTGACCTTTTAACTTTTTTCAGTGACCACATTTTGGTTATCGATGTACCTAGAAGTATGTAAGTTAGATTAAATTTCTCTTCTGAAAAAGCCCCAGGGGAAATAAAAAAGGAAGGAAGCGAGGACTCCCTCTCGAAGTAGTCAATGAGGTATAGGAAGGGGGAAAAAATGGCCACGGAATCTGTGGATCCAAGTTCGAGTCAGATGCTATGACAGGAATGCGAAGCTGAAATGGCAACTTGGATGTGGTCAAAATTGTATTAATTCTTTTCCAAAACAACACTCGTGTAGGATAAGATTATCTTATTCCCATTTTACAGATAAATAACCTAAGTTGCTCATGCAAGAAAATGAATATATTATATATGTTTACATATTTGTATATACACATATACAAATGTGGACATACACCTACATATATATTACATGAATAAATGTATATATATTATATTTATAAAATTTTCCCTTGTGACAAGAATGATTTAAGTTTGTTTTAACATCTTTAAGATAGTAAGCAAAAGAAGTGAAATTGATACTTAGTGTTGACAACATAGATGTGTGACTGGATGCCCAACAAAACAGTGAAAAAATTATCTTTAATTTTCTACTGACTGCTTAAAATGATGAAACCAGCTCATGGGTTAAATATCATTAAATGTTAAACCAATGCATGAATCAAGTGGAACAATTCCTGAAATGTCCATTAGGCAGTAATTCTGGTGAAGAACTCCATATTATCCAAGGTTTATATAGTGTGTATTTTACGTTGTTAGTCTTACCACCCACAAAGGAGATTTTAATATTAGAATTAGGAGTCTGAACTTGAGTTCAGATTTTTTAAAAAATGTTTTATTTGTCTTACTTTAAGTTATGGGATACATGTGCAGAATGTGCAGGTTTGTTATATAGGTATACATGTGCCATGGTGGTTTGATGCACCTATCAACCTGTCATCTAGGGTTTAAGCCCCCCATGCATTAGGTATTTGTCCTAATGCTCTCCCTCCCTTTGCCCCCTATCCCGGACAGGCCCTGGTGTATGTTGTTCCCCTCCCTGTGTCCATGAATTCTCATTGTTCAACTCCCACTTATGAGTGAGAACATGCAGTGTTTGGCTTTCTGTTCCTGTGATAGTTTGCTGAGGATGATGGCTTCCAGCTTCATCCATGTCCCTGGAAAGGACATGACGTCATTCTTTTTATGGCTGCATAGTATTCTATGATGTATATGTACCACATTTTCTTTATCAAGTCTATCATGGATGGGCATTTGGATTGCTTCCATGTCTTTGCTACTATAAATAGTGTTGGAGTAAACATATGTGTCTTTATAGTAGAATGATTTATATTCCTTTGGGTATATACCCAGTAATGCGATTGCTGAGTCAAATAGTATTTCTTCTTCTAGATCCTTGAGGAATCAACACAATGTCTTCCACAATAGTTGAACTAATTTACATTCCTACAACAGTGTAAAAGCATTCCTATTTCTCTATAGCCTCACCTGCATCTGTTTCTTGACTTTTTAGTAATAGACATTCTGACTGGCATGAGAGGATATCTCATTATGGTTTTGATTTTCATTTCTCTAATAATCAGTGCTGTTGAGCTTTTTTTCATATATTTGTTGGCTGCATAAATGTCTTATTTGAGAAGTGTCTGTTTATATCCTTTGCCCATTTTTTGATGGAGTTGTTTATTTTCTTGTAAATTTGTGTAAGTTTTTTGTAGATTCTGGAAATTACACCTCTATCAGATGGGTAGATTTCAAAAATTTTCTCCCATTCTGTAGGTTGCCTGTTCACTCTGATGGTAGTTTCTTTTGCTGTGCAGAAGCTTTTTAATTTAATTAGATCGCAGTTTTTAATTTTCATTTTTGTTGCAATTGCTTTTGGGATTTTTGTTGTGAAATCTTTGCTTATGCCTATATCCTAAATGGTATTGCCTAGGTTTTCTTCTATGGTTTTTATGGTTTGGGGTTTTACATTTAAGTCTTTAAATGTTGAGTTAATGTTTGTATAAGGTGTAAGGTAGGGGTCCAGTTTCAGTTTTCTGCATATGGCTAGCCAGTTTTCTCAGCACCATTTATTAAATAGGAAATCCTTTCCCAATTGCTTGTTTTTTGTTATGTTTGTCAAAGATCAGCTGGTTGTAGATGTGTGGTGTTATTTCTGAGGTCTCTGTTCTGTTTCGTTTGTCTATATGTCTGTTTTAGTACAAATACCATGCTGTTTTGATTACTGTAGCCTTGTAGTATAGTTTGAAGTTGGGTAGCATGATGACACCAGCTTTGTTCTTTTTGCGTAGGATTGTCTTGGCTATACAGGCTCTTCTGTGATTCCATATGAAATGTAAAATAGTTGTTTCTAATTCTGTAAAGAATGTCAATGGCAGTTTGATGGGAATAGCATTGAATCTGTAAATTACTTTGGGCAATATGGCCATTTTCATGATACTGATTTTTCCAATTCATGAGGATGAAATGGTTTTCCATTCTTGTCCTCTCTTATTTCGTTGAGCACTGGTTTGTAGTTCTCCTTGAATAGGTCTTTCACATCCCTTGTTAGCAGTATTCCTAGGTATTTTATTCTCTTTGTAGCAATTGTGAATGGGAATGCATTCATGATTTGGTTCTCTGCTTGTCTATTGTTTGTGTATAGGAATGTTTGTGATTTTTATACATTGATTTTGTATCCTGAGACTTTGCTGAAGTTGTTTAACAGCTTAAGGAATTTTTGCACTGAGATCATGGGGTTTTCTAAATACAGAATCATGTCATCTGCAAACAGAGATAACTTGACTTCCTCTCTTCATGTTTGAATATGTTTATTTCTTTCTCTTGCATGATTGCCCTGGCCAGAACTTCCAATACTATGTTGAATAGGAGTTGTGAGAGAGGGCATCCTTGTCTCGTGCTGCGTTTCAAAAGGAATGCTTCCAGCTTTTTTCCATTCAGTATGATATTGGCTGTGGGTTTGCCATAAATAGCTCTTATTATTTTGAGATATGTTCCATTAATACCTAGCTTATTGAGAGTTTTTCACATGACGGGATGTTGCACTTTATTCAAGGCCTTTTCTGCATCTATTGAGATAATTATGTGGTTTTTGTCATTGATTCTGTTTATGTGATGAATTACATTTATTGATTTGCATATGTTGAACAAACCTTGCATCCCAGGGATAAAGCTGACTTGAGAGTGGAGGATAAGCTTATTGATGTGCCGCTGGATTCGGTTTGCAGGTATTTTATTGAGGATTTTCACATCAATGTTCATTGGGGATACTGGTCTGAAGGGGTATGTGTGTGTGTGTGTGTGTGTGTGTGTGTGTGTGTGTGTGTCTGGCAGATGTTGATATCAGGAAGATGCTGGCCTCATAAAATGAGTTAGTTTGGAGTCCCTCCTTTTCAATTGTTTGCAAGTTTCAAAGAGAATGGTACAAATTTCTCTTTGTACCTCTGGTAGAATTCGGCTATGAATCCATCTGGTCCTGGGCTTTGTTTGGTTGGTAGGCTATGAATTACTGCCCCAATTTCAGAACTTGTTAGTCTATTCAGGGATTCAACTTCTTCCAGGTTTAGTCTTTGGAGGGTGTATGTGTCCAGGAATTTATCCATGTCTTCTAGATTCTCTAGTTTATTTGCATAGAGGTGTTTATATAGTATTCTCTGATGGTAGTTTGTATTTCTGTGGGGTCAGTGGTGATATCCCCTTTATCATTTTTTATTGTGTCTATTGGATTCTTCTATCTTTTTCTCTTTATTAGTCTGCCTGGAAGTCTATCTATTTTGTTAATCTTTTCAAAAAACCACCTCCTAGGTTCACTGATTTTTTGAAGGATTTTTCATGTCTCTGTGTCCTTCAGTTCTGCTCATATCTTAGTTATTTCTTGTCTTCTGCTAGCATTTGGGTTTGTTTGTTCTTGCTTTTCTAGTTCTTTTAATTGTGATGTTAGGGTGTTGATTTGAGATTGTTCCAGCTTTCTGATGTGCACAAGTAGTGCTATCAATTTCCCTCTAAACACTGCTTTGGCTGTGTCCCAGAGATTCTGGCACGTTGTGTCTTTGTTCTCATTGGT